GGAGTGGGGAATCAAACCCGGTTCTCCAGATTAGAGTCCGCTGCTCTTAATGCCATAGAGCCCACCTTCCAAAGCGGCCATTTTCTCCAGGTGAACTGATCTCTGTCCTCTGGAGATCAGTTCAGCTTCCACTTGGAGGTTACAAACCACCAAAAAAAAAATTACTGTACTCTAAACAAGAAACAAGAGAGCCGAATTGAAGCTAGATAGACTGGAGCTGAGAACAGGCCCCGTGGCCGGGAACTCCGAGGAGGATGCCGGCGTGGAGGGGGAACAAGTGGCTCGGAAGATCCTGGAGTGGCCGTCGGGGCCAAAGAGGACAACGGGGCTGCCTGAACCCGACCAGCCACACCCTCTCGAGCCAGGCCAGCCGAGGGTGCAGCCAGGACGTGCCCAGCTCCGGCTGCGAGGACTTCTCCCCGACTCCAAGGCCCCGGGGAGCCACTTACTGCAACAGAGGAAGGGCCTGGAGCCGCCTCCGCCCTGGGAAACGACCGTGGCTTCGGCCCAGGAAGCGACTGCGTCCACACCAGGGCCGACTCCTGAGGGCGGAGCCGGCAGGGAGAGGGGAGGGGGCGGAGCAAGGGACGGGACCACCAGGGGGCTCTCCACCAATTGGAGGGGGGCAGGGTTGACAGACACATAGGGGAGGCAATGGCACACAGGAGGGTGGGGAGAGAGGAGGTGACACAGGGTGGAGAGAGAGTATAAAAGAAGGGAAGCAAGAGAGAATTGAGGAGGATTTCGGAGGTGGCAGAGCCCGTGTCGGTTCAGAGGAAGTGCAAAGAGAGGCCGCTAGCTCCGAGGGAAGGTGTGTCCTGGTGGTGCTGTAACCCCAGGCCCCTCCCAGTCTGAGACTCTCGCTTCCCTCCAGACCCGCAGAACGCCTTCAGCACACCCGAAGGCCCTCCACTGCTTATGGACACCCCTGAGCGTGACAGTTTCCCTGTCTTCCTCTTTTTAGTCCAATAGTTATACAGTCACTAGAGTGGGCCCTGAGAAAGTTTTCTTGGGAACCAGCCCGAAAACTGAGGCGTCGGACTCATCTTTCAGCCTTACAGTTTTCATAATACACTGACCACATTTTCTAATTATTGCTGTGTCAAAACAAGCCCAACCGCCACTTCTCCTGATTTTTATTAAAGCTGTGAGAAATGTGTTGCAGCGCATAAATAAATGAAGGGGTAACCCTGGTTGTTATCACCACAATAAAGAGCTGATCTCTAACCCTGGCCTAACGTGTACCCGATTTCTCATACTCCCGCTATAGTTTTTAAAGGCTCAGTTTAATTGAATCTTTGAGCCGGTAATAGGAAGCAGATGGTTAAGAAATGAATTCCTCCACCACAGCTGAACGGTGTAGAAAGTGAAGTTTACCTCTAAACAAGCCAAGATAAGAACTTCATGCCCATTTAATTTTATGCTATACAGCGGGGTCCCTTTTCTGGAGCCTACAAAGTGCCTACCAAGGGCCGGGGTGTGTGTGTGCTTTTCCGCAAGTGTTCTGATTTGTCATTGGAAATTTGATTGGCTTTCCATATTTTTTTATTTTTTTTATTAACTTTTATTAAGTATAAACAACACATAAATATGAACAAACATGAACAAATAACAATGATGTCTGTAAATATTAAATACAACAATACATTCTTTAACACTATTGCAAAGTGAACAATTCAAAAAAACACAAAGTCTGAGTATTTATCCGGAAGTTTAAAACTTTGAGACTTATCATTATTAACATAACTAAAAAACACAAACCATTTTTCTATAAATGTTACCGGTACTTTACCAGTTTCATTGAATGTGAGTTGTAATGCAATCTTATCTGAGATTATATTATCCCATACTTTCAGTTTCCATTGTGCCAGTGTCGGGCTTTTAGGAGTTTTCCAGTTGGAAGCTATTAAGATCTTTGCTGACATTAGCAAGATAGATATTACTTCTCCGGCTTGTTTAGTTAAATTCAGGTCTGGCCAATAATGCAATAAGAAGGATTGTGGGGTAAAAGGAATTTCGATGCCTGTGATCTTTTTTATTTCTTGTATTACTGATGTCCAAAATAAATTTAATTTTTGACAGGAAAACCAGCAATGTAGCAATGTTCCTAATTCCCCACATTGCTTCCAACACAGGGAAGTGGGTATAAATTTACTTTTAAATAGTCTTTCGGGGGTTAAATACCATCTGGCGTAAAGCTTAAAGCGTTGTAAGTTTAAGTTAGTTGATCTGGTACAAAACATGCTATTTGTTAAAATGATGTTCCATTGGTCTTCAGAAAAGACTGCATTACAATCCTTGTGCCAGCTGTCTTGTAACGAGGTTAACTTTTTCCAAGTATTTGACATAATTAAGTTGTAAATAATTGCTGTTAAGCCTTTAATTGACTGATTGCATTTTTAAAAATATTTTTCAAACGGTGTTAAATCTCAATTTAAATTAATATGAGTTATATACTGTGATAATAAATGATTAAGCTGAAAATACTGTAACCAAGGAATTTGCGTTTCTGTCTTTTGTTCAAGTTGTTTCTGTGGAATTACTTTACCATTTTTGATAAAATCACATACTCGGAAATAACCTTTTTCGCGTAAACTTCTCAGGAAATTCGGGTCTCGGCCCGGAGAAAACCACGATTGGCCAAACACGGCACATAAGAGTGATACATTAGGAACCAGTATTTGTCGATATTTATTCCAGTGAGTCAATAAAGATCTCAAATATGGGTTTTGGAGTTCCTTAATTTTGTTTACATTTTGTGGATCCCACACAAATTCGTAAGATGGGGAATAACCGAGATCTGTTTCCTCCATTTCTGCCCATTGTTTTCCTGAAGTAGGTTGTAAAAAATAACCAATATATTTCAATTGAGAGGCAATATAGTATGATTCTAGGTCAGGCAAACCCAGGCCGCCTAATTTCCCTGGTTTCGTCAAATTATTGTATTTCACTCTAGCTTTCTTCCCACTCCATATAAATTTAACTAACATAGATTTCCACAAAATCAAATCAGCCCTCGGGACCTGGATTGGAAGATTCTGAAACAAGAACAAAAACTTAGGCAATATAATAGTTTTAATCAAGGCTTAGGAATGCTTGCAACCTCCACCATACTGTCTGGAACTGGTGCTTTGTGGTACACAGCCGCCAACCGTGGAGGTATTACTTAGCTGTCATGGTCTGTATCAGGGGTCCCCAACCTTTTTCAGGCAGTGGGCACTTCGGACTTCTGACACGGCTGCCGCAGGAAGTGTAGCATGCCACAAAATGGCTGCTTCCACTTCAGTCCCACAGTGAAGATCACAGAATCATAGAGTTGGAAGAGTAACTTTTTCAATTAACGTGAGATGGTGAAGCAACCAATCCTTAAACGTATCTTTCATTTGTTTCACTAAGGGGATATAATTAGTTGTATAGATATCCGACATTTGAATTGGAAACATAATACCTAGGTGTCTCCATGACTTTTTAACCCATTGAAAAGGAAAAAGTGGCTGAATCTGAAGTTTTAAGTCTTCAGGTAACCATACTGGGAATATCTCTGATTTATTATAGTTAATAGCGAATCCAGTAACGGAACTAAAGTAATTCAATTGTTTTAAAAGATGTTCTAAAGAACGTCTAGGGTCAGATAAATAAAACACAGCATCATCAGCGTATAGACCTAATTTAATTTCGGTTGACCCATGAATTATACCTGAAATCTCGGGGTTGTTCCTAATAGCAAACGCCAGAGGTTCTATAGATATGGCAAAAAGAAGTGGGGAGAGGGGACACCCCTGCCTAGTGCCCCTTTCTAGTTGTATATCATCTGATCTGTATTGATTTGTTAGGGTTTGAGCTACCGGTTTTGAATACATTGCCTGAAT